AAAAGGGGGGGGGGGGTAAGGATAAGGGTCATTGATCTTGAAAAATCAATGGCTGGGATAAAAAACAAATCGGGCGGGTTAAAATAAAACGGGTACCGACCGGGTATTAGACATGGTCATTTGGTCTTGGTCCTGGGTAATTGGGATGGGTTATTAGGTCCGAAATTGATTAGGAATTTAGGCTAGTTTCTAAATACTCAATATTTAGCAAGAAATAATTTATAAAAATAATTAATAAATAGCAAAAATATTATTTGTGCACTAAAATGATTAAAAATAATAACTTAACATTATAAAAATATAAAAATATATTTTTTGCATAAATAATATAATTATACATGAATATAGGCTATTATTGCAAAGATATGCAATTAGCCTAAAATGCAAATATAATTATGATAAATAAAATAAAATATTTAAAAATATGCATGTTGGTGTAAATACAGAAATAAATTAATTTAAAGCCTTTTAAAATTATGAAAAATGCTTGTATAGGCTTATAAGCTAAATGATGATGCATNCGGGATTGATGGAAGAGTTGTCGGGTAAAGAAAATGATGACCAATTTTGGCCGAATAGAATGAAAAATGATGTGATTTTTAAAAAAATGGGGGTCGAACCCTAGTTCCTGAGTTGCTTACATATCCCTAGTGTTACGGGAATCAGGCCGTGTGTAGTTTTGGATCCAACGATGGACGAAACCGATGGAATTGTTATAGGAATGTTTGTCTGTTTTGGAAAGGGGTCTTTTGGGTAGGACAGTGTCTGGTGAATTTATGCGAAGTCATGAATATGAATTTGAGATGTTATGCGGCATCATAGGGCATGTATCTGAATAGTTATCAAGTAAAAGTGGGCAACTGATGGTGAGCGGTTACGTTTTGAAATAATTGCAGGATGTGAACATTGTAAACGAAAATTGGAGCGAAGATTGCTCCCGTTTGAAGAATGGTTACTTCTTGAATTAACTGCAAAACTCAAAACACGATGGATGCAAATATATAGATTATTGCGAGAATCTAAATATGATGCAAATTTCCTTTGGACCATGAAGGTTGTCTTTGGACGGTGAGGATAGTGTCCCTAGACCATGACGTCCCGGGCCATGAATCATGTGATAAGGGATTCTCAGGCCATGAAATGACGTTCTTGGGCCATCAAAATAGTGCCTCTAAACTATGATACCTTTGAATAATGATGTGCAATATTGAGAGATCCTCAGGCCATGGCATGGTGTCTTCCGCTATGAGGGTGATGCCTTCGGACTATGACGCCTTTGGACAAAATGACGATGTTTCATTCCATGAGATGCAAAGATATGATACTGAGTCATATGAGAATTGAAACAAGATAGAGCTTAGTCTTGTATAGGATTGGGGCAGAGCTTAGCCCCGGGAAAGCAAAAAATAGTGTGAGATTTCAAGTAGCATAGCATTTGGTATTATGCAAGGAAAGGTAGAGCTTAGCCTTATGCAGTTGAGGAGGCAGAGCTTAGCCTCATGCAGAATGTGAGACAATACTTAGTCTCATGCAAGAAAAGGAGATAGGGCTTAGTCTCATGCAATGGAAGGCAATGCTTAGCCTTATGCAATTAGGGAGGCAGGGCTTATAGCCTCATGTAGAATGGGAGACAATGTTAGTCTCATGCAAGAAGAGGAGACATGGCTTAGTCTCATGCAATGGAAGACAATGCTTATCCTTATGCAATTAGGGAGGCAGGGCTTAGCCTCATGCAAGGAGAGGATACAATGCTTAGTGTCATGCAATGGAAGGCAATACTTAGCCTTACGTAATTAGGGAGGCAAGACTTAGCCTCATGCAAGTGATAAGAAGGCAGTGTGAAAGTAGAGTATTTCTTATCTGGAGACATGTTTGTGTTTGGTAATTTTGTCGTTATGAAGATAGTGATTTTGTGTGTATACGTATTTGTGAATATTCCTTGTTCCTGCATCCAAAAAACATTGTGAGTTTTGCGGGGAAGGTTGGCTTGTGCCTTCGTCTGCTTGCTTTGCTCCGCT